CACAATTAATAGTATTTTTTTATTATAACTATATATAAAAAATATAAAAATTAATATTTATTTTAATGTTGTTATTAAATAGATAAATTTAATTAAATATTTGATAAATTAAAAGTTAAATTTTTTTTCGACATAAATTTATAAAAATATTTATTATATTTCTAATCCATTTCATAAAAATATAAGTTAAAAAAACTTATTAAAAAACCATTTTGAGGTATTAACTAAAGAAAATTAACAAGGCCAAACAAAAAATGGGGTAGGGTTGGTGATATATCCCTAATAATGTGGTTACGTATGGAATGAGCTTCACTGGAACAAAACCTTAAATGCACCTGTTAACAACAACATATATATATATATTTATTTATTTATATATAAAACATGAATTTTAGTATTATTAACTGGAAGTGAAAGTACTTGTGGTACTACTAATTAATTAAAGTTGATAGACTTAACAAGGTCCTGTAATCATTTGTTCTTAAAAAAAGAAGAAATAGAGAAACGGGGTTAATGTGTACTAAATGATGATGTTGTTTAACAAAATGGAGAATGTTTGATGTGTTTTAGCAGGGAAAAAAAGGATGTCTGATGCAGTGAAAAGAAAAGAAAGGAAAGAACAAGTGGGAAGTTAAAGTGAAGAGGTGACATGTATAGTTTTAAACTTTTAATGAACGGGAGACAAGGTGGGCTCTCCACAAATTTTTACCGGCCCAAGAGAAGATCACACTGACCCACCTCCACATTCTACCTGGATCACGTGACCCACATTACCTTCCACGTCTGCTCCATATTTTCTAGGTTAAATTCCTATTTTGGTCCCTGAACTATTGTACGGACCCGCGATTTGGTCCCTAAACTAAAGAAATCCCTAATTAGGTCCTTGAACTATTGTACGGACCATTGAGTTGGTCCCTAAACTAATGTACGGACCCCCGAGTTAGTCCTTAAACTATTATACGGATCCCCAATTTGGTCCCTACTATTTACCAATTTAGCCCCAACTTGGTCCTTTTGTTAAATAATAGCTCAAGGACCAAATTGGGACGAAATTATAAACAATAAGGACCAAATTGGGGGTCCATACAATAGTTTAAGGACCAAATTAGGTTAAACTATAAACAGTGGGACCAAATCCGGGCTCCGTAAATCGAAGGTCCGTACAATAGTTCAGGGACCAAAATGGGGATTTAACTTATTTTCTACGAGCAATTTCTCCACAACGTATCGCCGGAAAAAACAAAAATCCAAATACCCTTTTTT